CAGCCACTCCCCCCAGTTTGGTATGGTCAGCAAACTTGCTGGGAGTACAAGCTTTAGTTACGTCTTGACAGGGGCAATAGACGTGAAAGATTCAATCTAAGGGAAAGGTTCCAAAGAGCAATGCAGAGGAATTCTGCTATATTTCTTTCTACTATTAAGCCCTGGCTGCAGTATTTGAGTAGTTGACACAGAACAACACTGGCACGGATTGAGAGATCGCTTTTTGCTGTAAGCCTTGAAGAGTTCACAGCTCATGGCTCACATTGCCAATTTAAGACTTCCCTTGCTGCTGGCTCCAGCTCCCTCAACAGCAAGTTGTTGCATGGGAACCAGTGGTGCTGACTCCGTGCATGGGGAGAAGGATTGCCACTGTTGTGAAGGGTTGGAGTGGGCAAAACCGACTGTGTGAAATCAGGGTCGTGTGGCTTAATGGCTCGTACCTCTCCTGTGCTGAATCTCTGAACACCCTGTTACAGATTGGGACAAGACAGAACTGGTTTTGCTACCTAGGAATCCCAATTCCTAGGTAGGGACACACAATTCCTAGGTTCGCCACAAAAGTCCCATGCATCCCAACACCCAGTCTGTGTTCAGCGAGCACCATCAGATGTTACATCACAGTCTGGACCAGGGTACCCACTGGGTTTGACTGGGCTGCTCCTGAATTCAGTGCAGGGAGGAAAAGGAAGGAGTCACTGACGCCCTAGTTAGCTGTATGGCGGGAAGGTTGATGGTTTCACTTATTAATAACTTTTCTAATGAGCTTAGTATGCAGTGGAGGTCTAGAATCGACTGAGGTGGCTACTCCTGTTTTCTCGGAGGGGGTTTATTGAATATGCTGTATGAGCAAATTTCATCCTATCATTTGTGATCCAGTCCAACTGACCAGAAAAGGGACTGGCAATGCAAACAACCCGGTATTTGCTCTGCTAATTCAATGTCAGATCTGAAACAGCAAAATAATTGTAATAGTTTTGCCATCAATCATTCATATTCTGAATTACCTTGATTTGTTCCTAGGACCTGGAAGAATTTTGCTTCAGATTTTGCATAAACCATTTAACTGTTGTTACGCAAACTCAAGGCTTTGCAGAAATGGACCACGACCTCCTGAAAAACTTCATTAGCAAAGCAAGCAGAGTGGGAGCATTCCGAAACTGAGGTCTGTCGACCAGCAAGCTGAAGAGCACGTCCTCTTCCCTCCTGGAAATACTTCTCCTTTGGAGAACTTATCCCTGGTCAGAATGCGCAGAGGTTTGGGAAGAAAGACCTGGGGTCCATCAGTTTAGGAAATGTGCGAAGTCCACTAACGTCTAGGTTTTGTGAAGCTGGCTCCAGCACAGGTGTGAGAGTTCACTGCCAACAGTCACAGTTTCACAACAAAAATCTAATGCAGTAACTACCCTTTCCCACTTAAGGTCAAGCAAACTAAGCTACTGTTATCCTGTCCGTCTGTCTGTCTGTCGGAAGGGTTTTTCTCTTTGTGTTTTCAACCAACCTGCATTTGGATTTTATGGGACCGTGACCTGTTTGCTGCTAAAACTTTCATAGCATACTTTTATCACCAAACTGGTATGCCACAGCGGGCTGCTACATGCCTGGTTTATCGTCCGGTGAAGGTACAAACTTGCTTTTCTGAACATGTGATAAAGAAGTAATACATGTTCTTTGGGATGAGAAACTTCTGAGTGGCAGGAGGAGATGTCTCACTTGGTGTTTATTTGGAGTGTAAATACATAAGCCATGAAGAGCTGCGCTGGGCAACCTGTTCTAGTGCCTCACCACCCTCTCCATGAAGAATTTCTTCCTGATATCTAATCTAAACCTCCCCACTTTCAATTTAAACCCGTTACCCCTTGTCCTGTCACTACAGGCCCTTGTAAAAAGTCCCCCCCAGCTCCCTTGTAGCCCCTTCAGGTACTGGAAGGTGCAATAAGGTCTCCCTGGAGCCTTCTCTTCTCCAGGCTGAACAAGCCCAACTCTCTCAGCCCGTCTTCCTTTCCCAAAGCACGTTCCCTGGCACCCCAACGGGCCAGGAAGCATTCCCAGTATCTGTCTGGGCGTGAGTTATTGCGCTGTGTGGTTCAGTACTCAGAAAACTGTCTGGTTGCTTGTTACCACGAAAAAGAAACCCAAACAAAATCTCAAGGGAAGGGAAGTTCCACTGAGGTCAGTTTGTTTATTCCCATCTTACTGTCTGTCCCTACACAGATCATCTTAAGAAAAATGGAGAAAGAAGATGGTTTTGAAGTGATAAAATGGGTCTTACAAGTAAATAGTGAGTGACATTCGCATTATTTACCACGTGGCAGTAAGGACACCTTGTCCAAATACATGGTGGTGGGTTCTTCGGTCAGTGCTGCGAGGGGCCCGTCCCACTTTACCTTCCGTGCCTGTTGTAGGGGAGAGGAGTTGCCCCCGGGCCACCTCGCCTCTCTCCCATCCGAGGGGACCGGGTGGCTAAGGCAGAGCAGCGGCTTCGTTGGTCACTGAAGCGAGTTAACCCCGCCCAGTGTTGCACGGAGGGAGGTTTGCCCTGTGACAGAAGACGCTGAGCTCATGAAGCTCATTCATTTACTTTTTTCTAATTGGCAACTGGGCATTAACCCCGAAGAAATTATTTTTCTTAAAACTTTTGACTGGCTGAAGTGCCTTTCGTAGTATTTTTACGAATGGAGCAGGGTAGGAGCCGGATGACCGGGCTCAGTACGCTAACACAAGTAACCACGCGACCTTCCTTCAGATCCTTGCTGTGCCACGGGATCCTACGATGACTCCTTACAACCTCAAATGCGGTTTCCAAGAACCCAATTCCCTTAAATGATCGCAGCCTCGTTTCCTCATCTGTGAAGTAGAAATAACTGCCCTCTGTTGTGCTGGAGGCTCATTTCTCAAACAATCCTTGCGGAGGCAAGGGAGCGGCACACCCTCAGAGAAGATGAGACGCGCGTAGCGCCCCTCTCCACTCAGTCCCCGAGGCCGTGAGTGGAAGGGGGAGGTGGGCGGACAGCAGAATTGACTTAGGAAGAGGGCCATCAGCAGATCGTTTTGGGAAAAGCCGTGGTAAAACGTTACTTGGGTTCAAGACGTTTGCCTCAGACTCTCCCTAGAAATAACGCCGGGCGCTCTACGGCTGACGAGCGTGTCCTGCCACCCCCTCGGCCATTGGTACAACTTCCTCCCGCAGCACAGCAGCTGTGTCAGTATTTTGTATTCAAACAGAACTGGTCAAAAACCTGACGTAACGCAGTTTCATCCCAACCGCAACTTCCCTGGGGGGTGGGGGGAACGGGGGATCAGCTGTGCTAAGTTTGTGTTGAACAGCCCTCGACTCGGGCACACCGAGAGGATAACGCAGCCCAACCGTGTCACGGTGGGGCACAGCCGTACCAAAGCACAGACGCAAGGCGATCCTGCGTTAAGCCAAGGCTGGCTAATTCCAGGTGTTTCGGGGAAGCCTGTCCCTTTTCAGTCCCAGGAGCCGCCAGGTTCATCCGCCAGCGTTTCCTTAGCCGCAGCGGCACGCAGGAAGCGGATGTCCCACCGCAGCCCAGCCCTGGGGCAGCGGCTGTGCCGGGTCCTGCCGTGCACGCAGGAGGACCTTGCGCTGGCGCGCAGCCGGCCGTACAAGGAACTGGGACCAGCTGGCCACCCGGCCTTTCCGTCCCTCTGGCCTTCCCAAGAAACGCCCTATAAAAAGGTCTTCTCCAGCTTTTTCTGTCGTTTTACTTGGTGAACCAAGCCAGAACTGAAATGACTGATTTTAACTCAGCATTCTCGGCTCGGGGAGGAGCCTGGTCCCACAGAACCACCGCTCCAAGGAGCGACAGCACAGGGGCGCGGTACCGCTCTCCAGTTCCTAACGCAGCAGTTCAACCACTGCAGCGGTCAAGATACCACGCTTCCCGAGCAATTTTGGCTTAATCTAACCTGCAGTGCCACTTGTCTTTTCAGTTTATTTCCTTCCTGCTCCGGGTTTCTGGCCTAGTGCACAGGTTAAGGCCTGCTTCCAAGTTCAGAGAGACGGACAAAGCCGGCAGTTTTGACGGAAAGCACCTCTGGCCTGAACGAGGGCGATCCTCAAGATCCCACGTGGCAGTGTCGGCGTTTGTGCATGCGATACGTTATCAGCTGACCAGGGTGTGTCAGCACTGCGGTCGGAGACACGTCTCTAATGTCTTCTGATTTCGTTGGCACGCGCTTTCCTCGGCACTTCGAGGTCAGGGTTATAAAAAAACGTACCGGCTTAGGTGGTTAAACGCCGCTGCGTGTGTATGATGTGCTGGCTGCAGGGTCACGGGACGCTTCAGAAGGAATCAGGGATGCATTCCACTGTTGAGAGACGGTCAGCAACAAACTTAACGGTGCGTGGGTACGCGTTGCTCTGTTTCAGGATACCACAGACAAAAGCACTTTCGCTTAAAAAAAGCGAAAAGAAAGGTCAAGCGGAAAGCGGCTCTGGGGTTCCGGTACAGCGGGGCGTTCCGCTTGGCAGGAGGGGAACCAGGTGGGTGACTTTCTGAACCAAACGGAATTTGAAAGGAAAAGCAGTGACAGGGAGAGGGCCATTTAAAGCTTCTCTTAGGTCACAGAAGCTGAGAGCCAGCTCTGCTTCATCCCCGAGTACCCAGCTCTGGAGTGTTATTTACAGTGCCCGAGAGCTATGTAAACTGCTGGTTTTACACCATCCACCCAATTTCCCTGGGCTCTCCTTGTAAAGCAAAGCATTTACTGACCCCCTGGAGACAGGACTCATCGGCTACCACCGATGCAGAAACTTTACAGCCTGAAGATAAAACGATGTTTTCATTTCTTGTTTCTTTATAAACTTGCCTGGGTTTAACAGACCATTAATAAAAATTACAAAGTACGAGTGAGATTTTTTTTCCTTTCTTTCCAGTAAGAGTGAAGTCTGACACCTGTAAACCGAGTTGACCATGTAGTTTGTAGTGGGGGAAGGAAAAAAAAATAAGCCAAGGGATAGTATTTTGGAGAGCTACTTCACAAGGCTGTTCGGGTTCTGCAGGAAATAAGCGCCACCTGATGAAGTGTGTGTGAGCAGAAGGAAAGCTGAGTCCGCAGAAAGAGAGCTGGAGAATTTCCCTAAGCGTATTCCCACCCTTCAGAGACATCAGTGCCCTAATGACTTAATGATCAACGAAAACGCCTCAAAACACCGAGACCATGAGCAGCTTATCTGTTACTTCCTAAAATATCCCAGCCTGTACTTTGCACCAGTGTCACACAGCCATAGTCTCCTCCAGCTGCTCCCCGTCAGACACCGGTATGTTCCTGCAGCCCCTCCTCTACCTGAAAACACGTGGATTACACGTTCCGGGACACGTGGGAACACGAACGGCGTCTGGAAACGGGACGGCAGCAAGAGATTAAGGGACAAAACTGCAAACAAGGAGGCTGGGAGTCGGCTCATCCGTCTTGAAGGTGGCTCCGCAGCCAAGCCGGAAGATTACATCCCCCTTGGCACCAGCGGAGAGAAAGGGGCCTCTCCGAGGTGCCATCTCGCACAACCTCCTTTCACACGGACAGCTACGGCAGGGACAGGGTTTCTTCACGACCGTACGTTTCTCCACCTTTTTGCGCAGCCGGGCCATCCGGAAACACCCGTCCCTTGGCTGTCCAGCTCTGCCGTGCCGAATTCTCGTTTGCTTTTCCTGGAGCAGTTTCGATATCCCAGCCCATTTTGGATACAGCAAGGTCTCACTGGAGACAGGTGCCCTCAAGCAGATGATTCCAAACCCGATCAAAAGCCATCACTTTCCGTACGCGCTTAATTGCATACGTATCTGCTTCACAGTAAGACTCTGACAACGTGTTCGGGGGGGGGCGGGCACCAGGAAGTCAGCCAGTGCACTTCGTGCTCTCGGCGCCATCACGAGCGCCCATGCCGTAAACAGCCCCGCGAGTGCAGCGCTCACGGGCATCTACGGACCCCACCGCAGCCGGGACACTGAGCACGCGTGTCCAGCCGCCCCAAAGCAGGGCGTCTCACGCCCGAGTTCCCGCGTCC